TTTTTTTGCTCGAGTTTACTGCGATCTGGGAACTGTACTATACATCAGTAATCATTCTGCCGATTGGGGTGGAAGTTCCGGTTTTATGACAAGTCAGCTCTATTGACACAGCAAAGGATCATATTTAGATGGTTTACAATTACATTCACTGCTCGCATCTTCAGATTTAAAAAGGGAAAGTTAGTAACGTTACGCTGAACATTTTGGTTAATAATGTTGTTTTTAAGACAATTAGTTACATTAGTCTGCTTCCACTTCTTTTGTTTTTTGCTTTCCTTGAAAAAAAATTTTTTTCAGACGTCTTGTTATTTCTTGGCCTATCAACACTGTCATTTTTGATTTATACGAAAGCATTTTTGGTTTTTTTTCTATCCATATTTCTAGTACAGGTTTTGACATCTGTAGAGGAAAGCGGAAACATTCCTGTCGAGCGTGCCTGTGTGGCAATCGTTCTTCTCCATCTTTTTTATATATTGTGGTTATGCAGTCATTTTTTGCTAGCCAATTTTACTTCCGTAAAATAAGTGAATTTTGACTCTTTTATCATATATTTTATTATTACTGTTTGCATGCTTTCTTCAAAAACACCGTATTTTGTTGACCTTTAAAGAATATTGTAATGGAAAAGGTTCAATACGGAATAATCTACAGTAGGATTAGGGGGGTTTTTACTTTCAAAACTTCTGACGTTATTGAAACACTGTACCTTTCCCTGTTTTGCAACAACTCTCTTATCACAAATAGTTGAAACGTGATACTTTTTCTTCAGAGCAGTTTATTTCGTCATCAGTACAAAAAAAATGGATTACTTCTCATCGGGTTTTTTTTCTCTAAATGGCTTTGAGCGAGTATTTATAAAGTATCAATAAAAAATTTTTTTGAAACTGTCTCTTCCTGGTGTTTTCAAGAGTGTGATCTTTTCAACATGATTTGTAAAAGGTCTTTGATTTCAAGTTTTTCACTGGAAAACACTGTTACGGACGGTAAGGGAAACTGCTGCAGCTTGTAACTCTGTCGTGCTGTCTAAGTATTATCAGCATTACTGTTAGCAACCTGTATTAATCTGAAATTTTCTAAACGGTAGCTTTCCGACCTGTTTGCGGCTACATATACTTTGTTAATCTTGTCAAAAATCGTTGTTGGCAAATTTCAAAGTTGTATTGTTGACAACCAAAAGGTTATTTTGTTTCCTTTGTCAAAAGGCTCACAAGTTTCAGTGCATTATGTTTGAATTGTCCTTGAAATATTCCTGAACAAAAACCATAATAAAATTGAGACGGAGGTCGATTGTTGATTGAAGGTTTTTGAGAAGTTTGTTCTTCGATTTATTTGATTTGTTCATCTTCTCTTTTTTGTTGAAAACCAGATAGTTGTTTTTAATTTTATTTCTTTTTTTTTCAAAGATTGGCTGTAAGTTAAGCAGGTTAATTTTGCACTTGAAGGTTACTGAACCTCACACATAGTGAAAGAATTACAGTGGAAGTGTTTTTGCTCCCAAATTCTGGTAATTTCAAATCAGAAAATGCGGTTTTTACAAAAAAATCTGCTTTTCTATAAGAGTGCTAGGTCTTCAGGAAACAAGTTGTGTTAGTACATATTTAATTCAGTGCATCAGCTAAGCTCTTTTTTGTAAAGCTGAATTGTAGTTTTTATTTTTTGAGTAAATATTTCCTTTTTTTTTTTTCATTTTTCTCTTTAGTGACCTAAGTGGGTATTTGTGTGAGTTTTGAGCGGAAGACGAGAGGGGGATGGGTAAAAGTTTTTTGGTTTCATTTCTTCTGAGCTGTCACTGTTTTTTGCACTTATATTTGGAGGGAGAAATTTGAGTTTTCAATAAGCTTCTCTAACAGAAAGTAAAGTTTTTTCTTTTATAATGAGACTGTCAGTAATACTGATATATTGAAATTTGAAAGAAGATATTTTATGTTAGGTTTTTAAACTGCTTACAGTTCTTCTTTATTTCTCAATAAGTGATTATATGTAGCAATTAGAAACTTGTCTAATACCTCAGCTTGATGAAATAGCCAATATTTTTTCGAATAACCTATTTCATTTCTCCATTTCGTTGGATGCTGCAGAATAATATCCATAAGGAATTCACCTTTTCATTATACAGTAGAGTTGCACATGTTGTTTGGACAGTTTATAGTAGGTCTTTATACTGGTGTAGGAAAAAAGAGGAGCGAAAGGCTGTTTTAGTGGTTCCTCTTGTCATTTGTCGTAAGCGTGAAAGACTATTCAGGAAATAACCACGATATTTTATACCGTTTACAACTTTGAAAACGCTAATTCTAACAGGTTTTATGTCTACTTGGGAATTATTTTGCGTTTATGATGCGCAGTTTGGTGTTTGTTGAAATGTGTCATTGGAGGGGGAATGTTGCTTTGCATTTATAACTCTCCATGTAATAGTGTTTATTTGAACAAGAAATCATGCAAAGCTCGAAACACATTTTTAGTTCATGTTTTTTTGATGCTAGTTATAGAAATGAAGCGGATTTGTTTTTCTAGTTCGTGGAAGAGTATGAACCTACTAAAGCGGATTCTTATCGCAAAAAGGTTGTTCTTGACGGAGAAGAATGCTCCATCGATATACTAGACACAGCCGGTCAGGAAGACTACTCTGCTATAAGGTTTAATTTATTTTTTGCAGGTGATTGAAGTGAGGCTTGTGGTAAAATCTATAATCTTGTAGTTTTATAGGAGAGGATATTTGTAATATTTTTTCAGCTTTAAACTAGTGAGGATTCAGCTTTTAAACAAAGTTTTTTCAAATTTCTCTTTGATCACAGTGGCATGATTGTTTTTAACCTTTTCAGAGACAACTATTACCGCAGCGGTGAGGGGTTCATATGTGTTTTCTCAATAACGGATGCTGAATCATTTGATGCTACGAATGAGTTCAGGTTAAAATTTTTCATGACGCTTCAGAATATTTTGATTTTCACCAACACGTAAGGTCCACTAAAAGTTTGGTGTAGATGTGTTAGTTAAATGTGTTTAGTAAAGGAACTTTAAATCATTCATTATAAATATTTTGTCACGAATGAGCTAGGGTGGACTATGGAGTTTTGACTTACTGACTATATTTTATTCAAGGGAGCAGATTCTAAGAGTGAAAAATTCAACAGATTCATCGATTCCACTGATGCTAGTGGGAAATAAGGCAGACCTGAGCGCTGAACGTTGTGTTAGTCAACTTCAAGCTCAGCAAAGAGCCGAACAGTGGGGTGTGCCGTATGTAGAAACGTCAGCCAAGAATCGTACCAATGTTGATAAGGTGCAGTTTTAATTTTCCAGTTTTCTAATTCATTCTGGTTTGTGTAACTGTAATAATAATCACATATTTTCTTATTTTGTCATTTTTTTTGCACCTGTTAGCTGGTCTAGATTATCTTCAGTTAGTATTTTTGTAGGTGTTTTATGATTTAATGCGGGAAATTAAGAGACGAAAGGGTGGAACGATGAATGCTAATGATGCTGGAAATTTGACGGCGCGTGTGAAGCTTCGTAAGAAGAAGAAGTGCGTGATTCTGTGAATTCTAAGTTTTGTTTCTAGTCGAAGCATCGAAATAATTTGTCTTTATTTTGCGGTATTGATGTATGGTTCCTCAAAGTTTAATGTTATCGATTGAATGATTGCAGTTATTATCTGATTTTGACAGATGATGCGCTAACTTTCATTCCACGACTAACATAACATAACTAACCTTTTAGAGCGATGGTAGTATAACGCTTAATCGTTAGATAATTTTAGTTTGAATACAGGAGAAAGGAAAGGTGCCAGGCATTCATTTTTATGCCGAATTCAGCATTTATTTGTCGTTCGAACGATGGGAAAGTAGCGCCTTACAAGAGTGTTATCTCATTCTTGCGAAACAAAGTGAAAAAGTTATTTTCGTAAAAAATAATCGAGACATTATTTTTGTAAGGAGGAGAAAGAATTATGTCATGATTTTTCAAGAGCACTGCGAATAACGTTCTTTATTTATTTGCATATTTAAAGGAAATTTGATCTGATTTTTGGGAGGAACCCTTTTGATCTTATGGTTTGACAAATTGCATCGGAAGACTTGATACATTTTAGTACTTTCGATCGCGCAACTTCGGTGTATTTTTTGCTTTTTTATTATTTTTCGTTTTTGAACTTTTTTTTTTTGAAAGATTTTGTTTTTTTGTTAAGGTAACAAGTCGTTGTTTCAACTCTTTTGAAACCATTTTAAAAATGTTTACATGTTTTTTGACATGTATTCGTCATTAAATGCCTCATTTGTCTGTTGTCTGTCTAATTGAGTGAATTTTTAATATTGATGCGTCTTTTTTGAGCCATTTTCTTTTCTGATCGCTTGCGTAGCATTACTAAATTCGACTCGCAGAGATTTTTTGAGATATCAGAGGTAGTAGAAGTGATCTGGTAGCTTTTTAAGTGTGAAAAAGAGGTCGAATGATGAGCTGTTGGAAAGGTGGTTACTAGTTTCGTGAATAAAGCCGCGAATGCTCCCAGTAATCTGATCCTGTGTCAGGCAGTTGTGGGTAATTTATCTTTTGTTTCCACAGCAGGTTTAGATTAAACACTTAAAACCTCACTGAGGTTCAATTGATACGCAGATAAAAAAACGCGATATAATTTTCAGCAGCTGGTCGGTATAATGGTTCGTAATTTTTTTCTTGGCAGCCTCTCATTTATGAATGCTTTATGATGTATAGTATTATCACTGTAATTGTTAATAAGTTAGAGTTTTTGGCTTTTTGTTTTTTTTTTTCTGCTAAAATGTTTCACAATCTTTTCTTTTTCCAGTTATTTGGAATCTTCTGATGGATGTTTGTTGCTGTTGCAGCTGAATGGATGTATTGTGCATTGTTTGTTAGGCAATTTTTCTTCCTAAAAAGTCTTTTACTGTTTCATAAACGTGTAATGTTTTCCCTTGCATAATCATTGGCGATCCTTCAAATTCGCACTGTTGCCTTCATGTTCTGGTCGTTTTTTCCTTTGTTATTTTTTATTTGCTTATAAATTGTTAAAGTAGCCGTCACTAACATTGTTGGTATCAATATCGAGTCCTGCACTATCTGCAGCGTCTTGAAGAAATCTCAAAGGTAAATGCTTTGGCAGAGTTGTACACATTTCTTCTAATTTTCTAAAAATGTTTGTCATAGCCTTTAACAGAGAAATTCTTAGCTTTTTACCGTTTAGTGATTATGACTTATTTAACTCCTAAAAGTTTGTGAGGAGCTGGAAAGGGAAAAGAATGGAGTTGATTTTTTTCATTACAGAGGTGGGTTTCGAGGCTATATAGATCATGAAAAAGACTATCGGGAAACAACGGTTTGCAGGTGAAGGGAGGAGGTCATTTTAATGAACAGTTCCAAGACAGCGAAGAAATAGCATTTGAAGTGAATGTTTAGCGTCTATCATTTGCTAGATGGTGCGGAAAAATGAAAATGCTGTGTAGGATGGAAAATTTCTTGTCAGACTTGAGGTGGTCTATCTTTTTACAGCGTCATTGACTGGCCGGAACAGCTGAGAAGGTATAGTCGTTGTGTAAGAGTGCCAAAACATCATTTTCGCAGCTTTGGAATGCCATCTATAGATTCCTCCAAATTTTTTTTTTTTTTTAATGAATAGGGTCGTTGCTTATCGCAGCGGATGGCAGTTTTGCTTTTACATTTGCAAAGAACTGTTCGATAGTTTATTACCAGAGACAAACAGATAATTTTCAGAACCATATGGCTGAAAGCACTAAAGTAAAAATCTGATTTGCTGCAAATATGAGTTTATAACGTGCGATGTTTAAATTATTAAGTGAATTTAGGAGGGGTCTTGTGCAATTATATTTTAGTACTATTTGTTCTCAAACATTAATCATCTGTTATGGGGAGTGAAGTTTTTGTAAGGTGGAGCAGAGTTACCAGGGTTTTTTTAGAAGAGATTACATTCAATTAATAATTTTGTCATTTGCCTCCCTTAACAGTATACTACGCGTTTATTTGAAGTAACAACCTTCTTGGTTGCTTAAGGACATTTACTTGGAAATTTCTGAGTGGGGATTACCAGGTATAGGAATCACACTAAATAAGGCGGTCATATATCTACTGCATATAAAACAAATGAACCCATTTGTTACAGAATATTTATTAATTTTTGCAATTTAAGTGAACTGAAACATTTTTTAATTAAAATTTTGAAGCTGCAGAAAAGATGAGTTTATTGAAACTATGGGGAAGATGGAATTGTGGGAAAACATGAGGTAAAATCTAAATTTATTGCAAATTTACTACCTCATTATTGATATATATAGTAGACTTCAAATTTTTCACAGGAAATGTGTCATTTCTAACGGTCAATTTTGCGTTACGAATTGGATAATGGAACGGATAATCAATCTGCTGGAGTTCTACATTGTCAGAATTGGAAGTCAGAATATAAACAAATTATGCTTGAGAAAGCATAGTTTTTTTGACACGAAATGTGACGGCAGAATTTTTTTAAAACGAAGGTTTCAAAAAAAAGGTTATTAATCTAATTTTCTGGCCGCATATTTCTATGCCTTTCCATTAAAAAAACAGTCTGCTTTTCAGCTTGTTGCTTCTTATTTTTTATATTTGTTTGTGACTGTTTTGAAGTTGTTGGCCAAGAAGTTTTCTTTGCAGAACTCAGTTTTTACCATTTTTTACATTCTTTTAATTTTGAGCCTGAAACTTTTAGTGTATAGTGTATGATCTTAAAGAAGTGTTATTCAAGCAGTTTTTTAATGGATTTTTACTGACCAGAAATTCTAGGCAAGCGACAACAGTCACTTAATGACTCCTGAATTTGTTTGCATTGCAAGGAGCTGCGAGTTTTCTTCTTAAAATGCTCACCCCTGCGAAATAAATTATTTTGAGCAATAATTTTTATACTTATTCGTTGTACTGTGAAATAACTAAGCTTTAACACTCCGAAAGTACATTAAGACCACACAGAAGTTATGCTTTAGCGCAATTAAAGAATGGGAATTTAGTGTCCAACTTTGTTGACAGTCATTTGTTTTTTTAATCACTGACTCTGGTTCTTGAGTAGCGAAGCAGTAATGTTGTTTTCCTGATAAAAATTAATAAAGCTGTTGGAAGCAGATTAGTGAAGAAATTTGTGGGTTTGAAAGTAAGGATGCTATCTAGGTGCCTTCTTTCAAAATTGTTTCTTTTTACTGTCACTACAGTAGACAAACTAATAGATATATTAAAAAATAAATTTAGCTAATAAAGACGTTAGCCCAACATGCGGTTCTGTTAAGTTTGCTGAATCGAAAATCGATGTCATTATTGGTCCACTGATTGACATCATCGGGAATATATCTGCTATTTGTTGGACAAAAAAATGCAGTTAATGGTGTTCCCAAATCCTTTTCTTCATTCAAACGTGATAAATTGAAAAACGGAAGAAAAAATAAAGATCCCTCGTTTTGATGTATTTTCCAAATGGCTTTAGAACGGACTTGGAAGAGATTTCAGTACATTTTGGAACTGGCGATAGCCATCTCCAATGTTCGAACTGCAGAGGTATATGTCGGCTCTTCCTGAAAGTGAACAACAGCAATAAAGAGTTGAAAAGCATGTTTTTTTGTGTTAAAACCTTTTCTTGGCTTATGCCGAAGATGCCTCAGCTACGTCTGAGAAGAAAATCTTTTTTATAGATTTTTAAGAAACTTTTTTCGCCTGAAATTGATCTAATTTATTAAATGTAAAGAAGAAAGTCAGAAAATGGGGAGGACTTTTCAAAAATTCAAGAGAGTAAAAGAGAAAGAAGATCAGAACAGCATTTATTGTCAAGTTTTTCAAAACATTTTGTTTCTACAAACTTTCTTTATTTGAATAACGCTTTTGAAGGGTGCCTAAATGAAATTTATAAGCTTATTCAGCTAGAAATAGTGGGCCAAATTTGGATTAAAAGTTTGAGACTTTGGAAATTTTATTTGTTTCTTTTTACAAATTTTACTTTGCATTCTTGTTTGCTTAGGCAAATATTAAGACGGCCTTAAAGGTTGCTGCTTTTACTTAGGTAACTTTAAAATGAGTACTGCTGATAAGGTGCCGGCTTGGGTTCAAACCTAAAGTTTTTCAGGTGTCTACAGTAAGAATCTATGCTGCCGTGACTGAGTGCTTCTCGCCAGTTCCAAAATTTTTCCCTGTATCTCTCAGTTTTGATTTTTGATTATTTTTAAGGGATATGATTATGCGATCAAAAACGTTGAAAGTATTTTTGTATTATTACGATAGGTGATATCTTTTTTTCACACATGTAACGTGAGAACAGCGAAAATATATCACTTATAAAGACACTTCTAGTTTTAAAAAAAGTGGTTTTTTCTTCTTCTGTTGTTGTTGTCATTTTTCAGGCTTCGCTATTTTTTTCCTTGATTGACGAGGTTTGATTCTGTTCTATATATTTATCTACAAATTTCAATTCCGCAGCAAGAGAAGAAAAAATGAAATAGAACTGGCGTTAAAAAGATCTTGTCAAACTTTCTGCGGCGTGACGAGTACATCTCTCAGACTGTCA